AAAGGATGGAAACTAATCAAGGAGAGAACTAACCTGGATCTAAGAAGAATTTTCCTGACAATTAGAGCAATTAATCAATGGAACAACTTGCCTCCAGAAGTTGCGAATGCTCCAACACTGGAAGGTTTTAAGAAGAGACTGGACAGCCATTTGTCAGAAATGGTGTTTCCTGCCTGAGCAGGGGGTTGGACTAGATGACCTCCAAGGTCCTTTCCAATTCTGTTATTCTATTGTAAGGCAGCAAGCAAAATCCTACAGAAATATGCCAGCGCCTGAGGGCATCTCAAAGCAGAGCAGTCAAGCGGGTCTTGGTGCCAAGAGCACTTGCAGAAAGTAATGGTTACATGTGGGCTGTGGTCAAATTCTTGCCCTTTTCATTCTCGCCAAGTTTTCTCAGTCTTGTCTTTTGGTGAAAGGTTCCAGGCTAATCTAGCAGGAGCATTTGATTAAAGGAAAAAAATAATGTTTTCACTTCTGGGGTTTGTTACACGTAGTCCTTTACTTATGATCACAACAGAGCCCCACATTTCTACTGCTAAACAAGGCAGTGGTTAAGGAGGTTGTATCCCATTTTACATCCTTTCTCACCACAGTTGTTAAATGAATCATTGCAATTGTTAATTGAAGCATGCAATCCTTAAGCGAATCAGGCTTCTCCCATTGACTCTGCTTATCGGAAGCTGTCTGGGAAGATTACAAATGGCATTCACATGACCCCAGGACAGGGCAACTGTAATAATAATAATAATAATAATAATAATAATAATAATAATAATAGCAGCACTACACCCCCAGTGAGGCACTACCTTGACCCCCAATGAGGCACTACCTTGACCCCCAGTGAGGCACTACCTTGACGTGGTTGTGGGGCTTGTGTACTCTGAGGAAGATGAGAGCTATGCCAGAGGTTCAACCTTACTGGACAGGTCTCATCAGAGGAGTCAGACAAAGAGTGTCTCTCCCATAAAAAATATGGTGAGACGTAAATTACAGAATGCCATACCGGCTCGGATGTCGCCCGGGTTAACAAGGTCTGCACTAGATATTGGAGTTCCTGGATATCTGGTGAAAAATGGGTTACAGGACTCAGGACTGTTGGCTGAGCAACCAGGGCCAGCAGCTGCAGAACTACTGGAAGAAAAGATGTTTACCCATCGCAGATACACAGTGATTGGAAACAAGAAATAATGATCTGTTACTACAGATCAAGTCCAACAAGAAGAGGATATCTAAAACGAATGCACCAGTTCTGGAAAGAACAACATCCAGAATCAGAAATAACAGAACAGAGACTAGCAGATCAACGCCGATTTATAATACGAAATAAAGTATTCACAAAAGAAGATTGCACAGACTGAAAGAAGATTGCACAGACTGACTACAAGCAGCGGCATGACAAAGTAGCAACAATGGTGCATTGGAAGATCTGCAAAAAATATCATTTGCCTGTAAGCAAAAGCTGGTGGGATCATAAAATAGAGAAAGTCATAGAAAATGATAAAATTAAACTGCTCTGGGACTTCAGAATTCAAACAGACAAGCACCTGCAACATAACACCCCAGACTTAACAACTGTCGATAAGAAAGACAAAAAAGTCTGGATAGTGGATGTGGCAGTGCCTGGAGACAGCAGAATAGAGAGAAAGAACTGGAGAAGATAACAAAATACAAAGACCTACAAATAGAAATAGAAAGACTGTGGCAAAAGCAAGCAAGGGTAGTACCAATAGTCATAGGCTCCTTGGGTGCAATCCCAAAACAACTGGAGCACCACTTGAACACCATTGGCATTGACAAATTCGCTATTAGTCAATTGCAAAAGGCGGCCTTATTAGGAACTGCTTCCATCCTGCGACGATACCTGTAATACCATCAAACATCCACATCTGCCTATCCCAGGTCCTGGGTAAGGACTCGATAGGTAGACAAAATGCCAAATCCAGTCTGAACATCTGGCTGACTGTGCGATGATCAATAATAATAATAATAATAATAAAGTTGGAAGGGACCTTGGAGGTCATGTAGTCCAACCCCCTGCTCAGGCAGGAAACTCTATACCATTTCAGATAAATGGCTGTTCAGTCTCTTCTTAAAAACTTCCAGTGTTGGAGCATAAATACAAGCTGCTTGCCAAGGACCCATGTTTGGCTTATGTGATCGTGGGGATGCTGTAATGGTCATGAGTGTGAAAAACAGTTATAATTCATTTTTTTTCAGTGTCATTGTAAAATGATAGGATAAGATAACCTTTATTGTCATTTTTTACTGTGAGCACACTGGCCCATATTAAAAATGAAATTCTGCTGCCTGCTCTCAAAAGAAAGTATATATCTATCCATACACATACATAACACACATATACACATGCTATATACATACACACACACACATATATATACCTACACACACACACACACACACACATACATACATATATACCAGGATATGATCGGACTCGTGGTATGACTGCTTTATTTTATTGTTTTATCATTGTTTTAACTTTGTACGCCACCCTGAGTCCTTTGGGATTGGGCGGCATATAAATACTGAAATAAATAAATAAATAAATAAATGTATATATATATTTTCTGAGGTTTTTGCAGGTGTTTGTATGTAGGTCTTTGGTTATTCAGGTTTTCTCCCACGTAAAATTGGAAGTGTCTTGGCAACATTTCGACGAAGTCCCATTCGTCATCTTCAGGCTGGTGTTTTCAGCTTCAGCTTCAGCTTCACATTGCTCCTCGAAGCACGAAGCTGAAAACACCAGCCTGAAGATGACGAATGGGACTTCGTCGAAACGTCGCCAAGACACACACATATAAATATTAATCACTGTCCGTTTTGAATACATAATGGAAAGAGGAAGCTTGAGAGCTCACAAGGTTGATGCTATACAGAACAAAACTGTGACTGAATCTGGATGTTTTGCTTTGGATATCACGAAGCCTCCCCACAGAAGGTAACAAAGAAAACAGGTCATGAAGAGACAATCTTGCAGACCCCGCTCCAGCAACGTTTTTATGCTATGTCCTGGATGGAAGGGAGGGAATTGCCAATAATCTTTTCAAGCCATCCTCACCACTCTCTGCACCGCCTTCCTGTCTGAGGCAGCGATGCTTCCAAACTAGACAGTAATGCAATATGACAGGATGCTCTTGATCGTCCCTCTATAGAAAGTGGTAAGGACAGGGGAAGGAACTTTGAATGGTTATTAAGTGAATAGTTGTAAATTGAGGACTACCTGCAGGGAGTGGGCATGGTCCTTATTTGATCATTCTAAGGCAGAGGTCCCCAACCTTTTGGGCACCAGGGATCGGTTCTACAGACCGGAGAGTGCGTAGTTTTGTGTGCTGCCTGCATCCCACCGATGGGGCTTTTCTTGTTTGTGCGGCCCAGTTGCTGGCATGCTGCGGCCTGGTACTAGTCCATGGACCGAGGGTTGGGGACCCCTGCTCTAACGGAGATTCAGGAGAGGAAGAGGCCCATCTGGCTACTTGTAGGTCAGAATGTGTTGCAGACTTGAAAAGTTGCATTTGCCTCCCATGTGTTATCCGAAGAATCCTTTTAGATTCTTAATCAGAGGGGTATATTTATTAAATACATGTGTAGTGAACATATTAAAAAACCCCTCAAACGATGCCTTCAAATCAATGCCATCTCCTTAGGATCGCAGGAAGTCCTTGATTTAGTGACTGTTTGAAGTTACAACAGCATTGAAAAAACTGTTATGACCATTTTTCACACTTATGACCACTGCAGCATGCTCTGGTCACATGATGAAAATTCAGTTCATATTTATGACTGTTGCCGTGTCCTGGGGTCATGTGATCTCCTTTTGCTACCTTCTGACAAATAAAGCCAATGGGGAAGCCAGATTCATTTAATGACCATGTTACTAACTTAACAACTGCAATGATTCACTTAACAACTGTGGCAAGACAGGTCATAAAATGGGGCAAAATTCACTTAACAAATGTCTTGCTTAGCAACAGAAAATTTGGCTCAATTGTAGTCGTAAGTTGAGGACTACCTGTACAAACACGGAGTCTCTTCACAACAGGGCAAAAATAATTTGCTATAAAAAATATTTCCTTCTGCCTAGCATGTTTTTCAGCTTCTTATTATACACTACCTCCCATCCATTTACTAACCAGGTCTTGTCAGGCTTCAGTTCTGGGTCCCTATTAAAATTCTGTGAGCATATTAATTCTCTTAAAGAATTCAGTTCAGATCATAATTGAACATGAATTAAATAAAAACCATGTTTATTTTTTGTCCCAGCCCTAGCGAGTTGCTGGTATATATAGGTAGTCCTCACTTAACAACCTGTAAACTTAGTGCAATTTGATGTTACAATGGATTGCCCAAAAGATACTTATGACTCAGTTCCAGAATTCTGATGCTTGCACACCTTTCTGTGGTCACATGACCGGATTTTGGACACCTGTCAACCGCCTCACTTTTACGGTTGACTGCAGCCTTCTGAGATTGTCTGACTGCAATTTATGGCAATTTTTGCTGTTTTCTGGCCTTTTCAACCAGTTTCTGGCAAAAAAACCCCCCATAGGAATGAATGGACTCACTTTATGACCACTGAGCTTACTTTACAACTGTCGCAAAACAAGGTTGTAAAGTCAGGTTGGTCACATGGGTACCTCGACTTAATGACTGACATGGCTTACGATGGAAATTCTGGGCTCCATTACAGTTGCAAGTCAAGGACTATGGTGTGCAGCTCTCAGCACCCACTCAAAGGCTGAGTGGGCCTCTTGCTGAAAGTATAAGAACCACGGCTAAATTAACTTCTACCAGGGGTTGTAGAAGTTCTACACTGCAGATATGTAGATTAATGATGTAGGCAGCTGTCATATAGGGCTGTTTTTATAAGAGTGCCATGGAAGTTCTGGGCTGCTTTTATCTCAGATGAAGTGGTCCAAAACCCTGTTCCTCCCAACACCCCACCCTCATTAAAAACGTTCAACTGTATGAATTCAAGTTACCTTCATTCCCGATGCAGCTGCTGGCCCACTGGGATCCACTGCTTGCACGTGGCAGGGCTTAGTCCCTCGCACCACAAATCCCCACCCAACAGCATCACCTATAATCTTAAAGGAAAAGAAGAAGATGGCCACACTGAATCTTGTTAATAATCTCTTTCTCTCTCTTTCTCTCTTCTTTCTTTAAGCAAAGTAATGGCATTTGATGTTCAGTATTGATACAGTGATTTTAATCTACAGCCTTGCTTCATTCCTATCTAAAAATGGCTAAACCTCTCGGTAAAGTAGGTCATTCTGGAACAAATTCTTAGGTACAAGTACCTCCCTCTGTACGTGCACATGAAATCAGGAGATTGTGAGGTTTAGTCCTGGCTTAGGCATGGTGTTTTTGAGCCAATCACTCTCATTCAGCCAAAACCACTAGACAGGACTGTTGTGGGGAAAATATTATGTATATTCACCACCTTGAGTTACTTATAAAGCAATAAAGGCAGGATAAATATTGGAAGGAAGGAAGGAAGGAAGGAAGGAAGGAAGGAAGGAAGGAAGGAAGGAAGGAAGGAAGGAAGGAAGGAAGGAAGGAAGGAAGGAAGGAACAGTGAATATGAAGGCGTTCTAACTCTTATTTTGAGAGATCACAATAAACATCTTAAAGACAGAGTAAACATAGCTCATTTTTTAGTCCCTGCTTTCTTCAAATACTACATTCATCTATCTTAAAAAAAAAAAAAATCATCCACCCAACTTGCAGTGTACCTGCTGGAAATTATCCAAGACATTTACCCACGGATTCAACTTGTCTCTACAGTGAGGAGTAATATCTTTCCTTTGGGCCAGCAAAACAACAACAGTGTAAGGTGAAAAGTTTGTGAAGAAGCCCCCATTAACTCATCTATAGTGTTTTCTACATCTGCATTCCAAGAAGTGTCAAGAAAGCACAGCTTAATTGTAGGCAATTTTCCACCCGAGAGACCAAAAAGCAGAACTAATCTGAAGCCTTTATACTAAATAACTATAGATTAGTATATATGCTATCTTTGCTCAGATAATGCATATAAAGTGTTTCTTCTAAGTTGCAAAGTCTCCCATGTTCAAAATGTTTCTATACAAATGTGTTTGCATGCATATGGGTATGTGTACAGTATTCATATATATGTGCATATGTGTGTTTCTACCTTTATATCTGTATATGTATCTACTGTATCTGTATATAGGTAGTCCTCAAGTTATAACCATAACTGAGTCTAGCAATTACGGCCGTAAGTCATGACAGCGGTAAAGGGGGTTGCCATGCGACTGGGCCCAATTATATGACTTTTCCTGCAGCAGTCATTAAATGAACATCACGGTTATTATGTGAACTCATTGTTCACTTTGGGCTGTTTTTTCCCCAGAAACAGGAAGTAAATGCTAGTTTCTGACAAAACCGTTATAAATCATGATCACACAATTATGGGACACTACAAACGGCCATAAATGGAGCTGGCTGCTGAGTCCAAAAATGTCCTCACACGACTATGATGCAGAGTGACTTTGGAACTATAAAACCAGGTTGTAAGTCCCTTTTGGAGAGTCCGCCATAATTTTGAACAGGTGCTAAGTGATCGGTCATAAGTCAAGGACTACCTGTATATCTGTCCAGCTCATTTCTTGGCAACTGCATGCATGTGTTTGTGTAGTTTTCACTGGCAGCAATATCAAAGCAGCTTGCCATTGTCTTTTCCTAGCCTACTTCCTTGACATTTCTTGCTGGTGTCCCATCCAAGTACCAGCCCATTGCAACTCTGTTTAACTTTCTCCAGCTAGGCGCATAAAAACACATTGCCCTAATCTTTATATTAATCATATTTATAAGATGATTTCAAAATGAATGTGCTATTTCTATACAACTGCACGAAAATAGCCTTAGGATGTCAAATTACACCGTCAGGTTCAGCACCAGAAATTTAATAGCTAAAAGTCTAAGCCAGTGGTTCTCAACCTTTCTAATGCCGCGACCCCATCATACCGGGTGCCAGGGGCATGGCCAAAGAAAAGGGGGAAAAATGGTGGACAGCCTTGCTTGGCAACCCCCGTGAAATGGTCATTCGACCCCAAATGGGGTCCCGACCCACAGGTTGAGAACCACTGGTCTAAGCAATGGTTGCAACACTGCATAAACCTTTGTGGATAATAAACTATCAAATATAATAAATAAAGATATGAAACAGAAACTTACAGTGAATGTTTTCCGAGCATAAGGAGCCCCAGGCCTCAGAAGTTCCTCAGGAGTCACTGTTCTTTTTAGTACTGGGGGGGGGGGGAGGGAAGGAAAGACACCTAAATAAGATTTGGTTCTGATTATTCTTCAGAGAATGAAGTTGTTTCCAAATTAGGAGTATAATCTGGAATTGTCCAGCTTCATTCAGTTTATTTTTTTAACAAAGGTTATATTGCAACTTCTGATTTTTTCTTCTCTCAAAGATGACCTTTTCTGAGAACATGTTACTCTGTACCTGCTTTAAGAAGGAAACCATGGGCAATTTTTCACAACCGTCAAAGACATCAAATGTTCAATGACAACAAAGTGATTTATGGAGCACCCAAAATAATCCAAATGTGCTCAAACTATGAAGTTCTAAGGGAAAAAGCTGGTGAGCAGGAAGTGCCGTCTTGCCTCAGAAAACATATAATAAAAACTGAGCTGGTTACTGATTTGTGCTTCTCCTTTTCACAAAGTCTACAGGCGTGTTTTGGCATATGTGCACCTGCCCAGGAAATGCCCGGTTTCTGAGCATATAAATCAGGGGTCTTCAAACTTGGCCCTTTTATGACTTGTGGACTTCAACTCCCAGAATTCCTCAGCCAGCGTGCCTGGTTGAGGAATTCTGGGAGTTGAAGTCCACAAGTCATAAAAGGGCCACATTTGAAGACCCCTGATTTAAATCCAAAGAAACAAAACACAGTTACAACCTTGTATAGGTAGTCTTCGACTTATGACCATAATTGAGCCCAAAATTTCTGTTGCGAACATTTGTTCAGTGAATTTTGCCTCATTTTGTGACCTTTCTTGCCAGTTGTTAAGTGAATCACTGCAGTTGTTAAGTGAGTAACCTGGTTGTTAAGTGAATCTGGCTTCCCCATTGACTTTGCTTGTCAGAAGGTTGCAAAAAGGGATCACATGACCCCGGGACACGGCAACCGTCATAAATAGGAGTCAGTTGCCAAGTTTATGAATTTTGACCACACGGGGGATGCTGCAGTGCTCTTAAGGTGTGAAAAACGATCATAAGCCATTGTAACTTTGAATGGTCACTAAATAAACTGTTGTAAGTTGAAGACTACCTGTATAGCTACAGTGAAGAAGAGAGGAATGATGCTTTTATTTATAATACTACTACTACTACTACTACTAATAATAATAATAATAATGTTGGAAGGGATCTTGGAAGTCATCTAGTCCAACCCCCTGCTCAGGCAGGAAACCCTATACCATTTCAGACAAATGGCTGTCCAATCTCTTCTTAAAAACTTCCAGTGATGGGGCATTCGCAGCTTCTGGAGGCAGGTTGTTCCATATTCATTCATTTATCCTGCCTTCATTATTTTTACAAATAACTCAAGGCAGTGAACATATCTAATGCATTTTTCTCCTCTTATTTTCCCCACAACAACAACCCTGTGAGGTAGGTTGGACTAAGAGAGAGTGACTGGCCCCAAATCATCCAGCTGGCTTTCATGCCTAAGGCGGCACTAGAACTCACCACCTCGTTTCTAAGGTACTACCTTAACCAAGGAAACTGTCTGGTCCTGGATTAAAGTTGTGAACAGTGGATACAGATCATATTTTGCCCTTTGAATCCAGATCGCTTCTCAGTCCTAACTTTTTACATGCTTGTGGAGAAACTAATTAAGTAAAACATATACTTGAATGTCTATTGAGATTCTCAGTCATCAACATCATAGTTATCCCAAAGATGCTTTTTCACGAGGCAACTGGACTTCCTTCTTTTTCTTTGAAGACATTTTGCTTCTCATCCAAGAAGCTTCTTCAGCTCTGACTGGGTGGTGGGGAATGGAAGGACTTATACTCCTTAAAGACAGCTGTTCATCTGCATTCTTTCAGAAGGGAAACGTCTTTAAAGAAAAACAAGAAAGACCATTGCCTCATGAAAAAGCATCTTGGGGTATACTTGAATGCACTGTCTCCTGTTTTCTAGCTTTGTGTCTTAACCATTTCTGAACAACATCACAAGCACTGTTCAATAAACCCCAAAATGCTTTTTATTGCTTGGTCCATAGAAGTCCAGCAATAGTTCTAATGAACTGAAGTCAACACTTTTAACTACAAATGGATAACAACAGGCTGACATTCAGTGCCACTGAAACTGATGTGAAGAAGCTAACTGCGCAATCATTAACACAGCCAGCAACCCAGCATTTATACTTTATGCTGTTAGTTGTGAAGTCATGTCCGACCCATCGCGACCCCATGGACAATGTTCCTCCAGGCCTTCCTGTCCTCTACCATCTTCTCGAGTTCATTTAAGTTCACACCTACTGCTTCAGTGACTCCATCCAGCCACCTCATTCTGTCGTCCCCTTCTTCTATTGCCCTCAATCTTTCCCAGCATTAGACTCTTCTCCAGTGAGTCCTTCCTTCTCATTAGGTGGCCAAAGTATTTGAGTTTCAACTTCAGGATCTGGCCTTCTAAAGAGCAGTCAGGGTTGATCTCCTCTAGGACTGACTGGTTTGATCGCCTTGCAGTCCAGGGGATTCGCAGGAGTCTTCTCCAGCACCATAGTCCAAAGGCCTCAATTTTTTTGCGCTCAGCCTTTCTTATGGTCCAACTTTCACAGCCATACATTGCAACTGGGAAAACCATGGCCTGACTATACGCACTTTTGTTGGCAGGGTGATGTCTCTGCTTTTTAGTATGCTGTCTAGATTTGCCATAGCTTTCCTCCCCAGGAGCAAGCGTCTTTTAATTTCTTGGCTGCAGTCCCCATCTACGGTGATCTTGGAGCCCAAGAAGATAAAATCTGTCACTACCTCCTTTTCTTCCCCATCTATTTGCCAAGAATTAAGAGGGCTGGATACATTTATACTAAGCATAATGTCCAGAATAGGAAGGGAAATTACAGGTAGTCCTCGAATTACGACAATTGGGACCAGAATTTCTGTCGCTAAGCAAGGTGATGTTTAAGTGAGTTGCACCTGATTTTACGACCTTTTCTGCTACAGTTGTTAAGTGAATTGCTGCAGCTGAGCCACTCATGCGGGCGTTATGTGAATCCAGCTTCCCTTAATGACTTTTGCAATCATGATGAATACGTGCGCCCAGATTGTGATCATGGGATCGTGAGGAATGCTGTGATGGTCATAATTATGAGGATTGGTTGTAAGTCACTTATTTTTCAGGGCTATTATCATTTTGAACGGTCACGAAACAAATGGTTGTAAGTCAAGGACTACCTGTGGGAGGAAATATATCTAGAACGGGGTAGGCAACCTTGGCTCTTTTATGAGTCGTGGACTTCAAACTCCCAGAATTCCTGAGCCAGCCATGCTGAGGAGAAAGGGAGAGGTTTCCATGCTGAGTCATGCTGGCTCAGGAATTCTGGGAATTGAAGTTCACGATTCATAAAAGAGCCAAGGTTGCCTATCCCTGATCTAGAATCACAAAATCAGTCATGCTTCTGAGTTCCTCAGATGATTAAAGCGCCTTCTATCACACAATTGAAAACTACAGAAACTGTGCTGAAGTTGGTAATGCACAACCAGTCTGATCTGAAAAAGGAGAAGCCCAAATTATTTCTTCCTAGTCAAAATTTTCCTTAGAATCAGCATATTTTTATCCTTTTATTTCGAAGCCCAGAATTGAGTTATCTTTCAACTTTCTGGAAGTACAGGAAATCGCTTAGAACAAAAATAGGCTGATGGCAGCTTTCATCTTGTTCAATAAGGGCTTGTCAGATACAAATTGATGTGACAGCTGAAAGAGTTTTGTGGCTCCTCTCAGTCCTAGCGTCATCTCTTTGTTGTTTCCCCTTTCATGTGCTCCTTGTTTCATTCATAGCTCCACATAAATCAATCTGCCTGGGCTGTGAATTGCACAGTTGAGATGGGTGGCTATGGAAATAAAATAAATAAAAAATAAATTGTAAAATAAACCTACAGACCGATCTACAATTGAGAAGTCAAACCAGGCAGAAAACATTGTTTTTTAATCTGATTCTGAGATGATTTTGCCTCCATTCTACATACATACTCTAGTTTCAGTGATTTGGGGTTTTAGCTAATTGCTTCTCCAGGAAAGTTTTTTATTCTGGTATTGCTTTGCCTACAGAAGACAGCATTTGTCAAGCGTTCAGCCATGCACATACCTCAATTTGGTTTTTTTTAAACAAAAAATCCACTAACGGGAGACAAATAAAAAATAATAAAAACCCTTCAGGCAGCCTCTGCAATCTAGAACCATATTCTAGGCTTGATAATTTGAAGAAGTGTGGACTTCAACTCCCAGGATTCCCCAGGCAGCATACTGGCTGGGGAATTCTGGGATTTGAAATCCATATATCTTCATGTTGTCCAAGTTGAAAAGCACTGACCTAGAAGCATCTCTAATTTCTAACCAGCACTTGAGAGACACAGCAGCAGTCTTCTCCTCACTGTCTACTCACATATTATCACTGCTGTGAATTCAACAAAGACAGCGTTGAATGTTAGATGAAGGATGACCATATGGGAATCCATGAAGAATTGCTTGTAAAATCAAATGTATTGCTGCTTAGTCAATGTTCGCAAACACTGTAGACTATGTGCTGAAACACGGCAAGACAAGTGGTTGCCTTTGTGCCATCAACCTAAGAAAAATCTATTAGCCTAGAAGTCTAATTGAATAATGTGGTTACTCTGGTTTTTTGCTGGGCACCTATGTAGTCAATAGTGCTTTGGGAACCCAGCTTAAGGATGTTTTCAAGCATGGCTCTTCTAAATGGAAAAATCATATCCAAACCAGCACTCTATGCAATATATCTGTTGCTGGAAAAGACAGCAATAGCTAAGGTGACCAATCGTCCTCCTTTAGGGAGGACATTCCTTCTTTTGTAATTTCTGTCCTCTCGAAAAGTGTCCTCCTACATGTCCTCCTTTTCGATATTTGAAGACTAATCTGTAAATCTCCGTATTCGATTGATGCCAAGCCGATCCGTTCCGTGTGATATGACGTATTTGTATTTGACATGACGATTCGTCAAGGCTCGGTACGGTGCAGCAAGACATGATTATGAGACGCATGCACTCCACATAGGAGAATTGTTTTGAGAGAGTGCGTCACACACAAGTGGCTTTGTTTACTTCTTACCGAAACACGACACGGCACACACGCATGCATTAGACTCACTTTTTTTTTCTTCATTTGTGTCCTCCTTCTCATCGTAAAAAAGTTGGTCACTTTACAATAGCACTTAAATTATATACCGCTCCATAGCGCTTTACAGCATTCTCTGAGCAGTTTACAAGGTCAGCATATTGCCCACAACAATCTGAGTGCTCATTTTACCAAGCTCAGAAGGATGGAAGGCTGAGTCAACCTCAAGCCTATCAAGATCAAATTGTGGGCAGAATTAACCTGCAATACTGCATTCTAACCACTGCGCCACCAGGGTTCCAGAGATCACTTCCCACAATTTATTTTTCCACATTGTCTAGCAAACCCCTGATTCTCAAATGAAACTCTTTCTCCTTCAAATCCACTAGTAATAATTTGGCTTCTATTCCAACAGTCTATTGCAGGGGTCTTCAAACTTGGCCCTTTTATGACTTGTGGACTTCAACTCCCAGAATTCCTCAGCCAGGCATGCTGGCTGAGGAATTCTGGGAGTTGAAGTCCACAAGTCATAAAAGGGCCAAGTTTGAAGATCCCTGATCTATTGTTTATTTTTTGATTTCTATAGCTGACCATCTCAACAAGTAAGTCTGGAAGGCTTAACACAGGACAAAATAAATGTACATGACATCAAATAAAACGGCTACTAGGATGTTAATACAACCAGGAAACGGGACTCTTAACACATTCAGGGCCTCAGGCCAGGGCACACAACCAAGTCTTCACAGCCTTACAATATTTTTATTTTATTGTGCCAATAATAATGTACACGTGATCTAAAATGCTAGAATGTTTTATCATTTAAACACCCCAGCTTATCTGACATAGCTTATCAGGGTTCTCTTTAGCTTGGCATGCTAGCTTTGAAAGTGCCCAGTGTGTTTGTTTATTTAACTATTGGGAGCCTGTAGACATTCAGTTCCACGTCTTTGAATGGAAATTGTACAGGTCTCCAAAAAATATTGTATAACGTGGGGTTGCCCCTTGTAGGGCTTAGCCTACAGTTGTCTAGACAGGTTTGATTATTTGCTCTACAAAGACAGACAGGTAGTGACTTTTGCTTTATTAAATATACATTTTATTTAATTACTTGCATCACAAGCATGTAAAAATGTTAGGACTGTGCACGGATCTGGAGGGCAAAATAAGATTAGGAGTTCATCTGTATCTACCGTTCATAACCTTAACCCAGGACCAAACAGTTTCCTTGGTTAAAGTGGTGGCCTAGAAACAAGGAGACTGTGAGTTCTAGTCCTGCTTTAGGCATGAAAGCCAGCTGAGTGACTTTGGGCCAGTCACTCTCTGATCCCAACCCACCTCACAGGGTTGTTGTTGTGGGGAACATAGGAACAGGAAGGTGGGTTATATAAGTTCTCCATCTTGAGTTACTTCTAAAACATACAAAGAACGGCTACGGGATTTGGGTCTGGCTAGTCTAAGGACAAGAAGAAATAGGGGAGATATGATAGGAGTGTTCCAGTATCTGAGGGGCTGCCACGAAAGCACCAGATGGAAGGACGAGAAACAATGGTTGGAAACTGACCAAAGAGAGAAGCAATCTGGAACTGAGGAGAAATATCCTGACAGTAAGGACAATCAACCAGTGGAACAGTTTGCCTCCAGAAATCGTGGGCACTCCATCACTGGAGATTTTTAAGAAGAGACTGGACATCCACCTGTCTGAGACGATATAGATTCTCCTGCTCGACTAGAAGACTAGACTAGAGCTGGACTAGAAGACCTCCAAGGTCCCTTCCAGCTCTATTCTATTCTATTCTATTCTATTCTATTCTATTCTATTCTATTCTATTCTATTCTAGGGTGAGTTAACAAATCTAAACAAAACAGTAAAGTAAATGTTAGATATCAAGCTGGCTGGGGAATTCTGGGAGTTGAGCTCCACATATCTTAAAGCTGCCCAGTTTCAAAAACATGGCTTTAAAGGGTTCCTGACAGGTGTTATGTGCACACCTAGATATCTTCTAAATCCAAAAATCTGTGCAGCCCTAAACGAGGACTACATTCTGCTAATTCAAACTCAGCTTCTGGTTTCTAAATGTTATTTTCAACCAAACAAGAATGGATTGCTGTTGCCTCCTGCCCGGATGTAAGATTTAGAGGGGCAGGAGTGGGGGTGGGAGAGATATACTGAGCATAAAGCTAGTAAGTTACGCAACCAAATATCTTTATAAAAGCATTTTTATACTGAGCTATAAGGAGGTCCCCAAGTATCAAGGATATGACTTGAAGCTATATGTAAGCTTTAATTCTGCCTGGGATGGTAATGATTCCTCCAAAGTTATTAATTTCTGCTCAAACAGCCATTTCCAACCCATTTTCACCATTGGAAACAAAAAAAAGGGTTAAATTTGCTCTCTAATAAATAGCCACAATCAACCATCATCACATTCCCCAGCCCAGTAGCTGCTACTTGCATTTTTTTTTTAAAGAAACAGAATGTGCACATAATTACATGCAATAATGCAGACCCCCTAAACCAGAGCTAGGCAACCTTGGCTCTTTTATGACTCTTGGACTTCAACTCCCAGAATTCCTGAGCCAGCATGGCTGGCTCAGGAATTCTGGGAGTTGAAGTCCACGAGTCATAAAAGAGCCAAGGTTGCCTACCCCTGCCCTAAATTATCACTGTTGCAAACATGCTTCAGCATCCTACCAGATTTTGGGTTGCAGAGGACAGGTGGGCTGCTGCCGAGGGTCGGGCTGCTGCTGAAGTACCCGCTGCTGCCACAGCTGCTCATGCTACTCCGTCTGACCGCAGAGACAATCTTGATCTCCTTGCTGGGGCTCACTGACCAAACCAAAGAGGGAGATTTATGTAGAAGACAAGAACCAAGCTTGGGTCTCTTACTGTTTTCCATATATTCCTCTGTCACTTAAGAATCCTATTATAGTTAACCCTCATGGAATGACCACTCGTTCAGCGACCATTTGAAGTTATGATGGTGCTGAACAAGGTAGATATATGATTAGTTGTTGCACTTAATAAACCTTTTGCCCTCCTCTTCTGTACATTCTAAAAGGGGCGTGATGGCTCCAGCAGTTAAAGATGCTGGAGAGCTGATAGCCCAGGTTTGAGACCCGAGCGTCATGCGATGGGGTGAGCTCCCGTTACTTGCCTCAGCTCCTAGCAGTTCGAAAGCATGAAAATGCAAGTAGATAAATAGGTACCACTTTGGTGGGATGGTAACAGCGTTCCATGCACTTTTGGCATATAGCCATGCTGGCTATATGACCACAGAAAGGATCTTTGGACAACGCTGGCTCCCTCGGCCAAGAAACAGAGATGAGCACTGTGTCTTAGAGTCAGACACGACTGGATAGGGGGAAACCTGTACTTTTTCTGTGCATTCTAGTCTAACTAGACTTTGATTTTGCAATGTTTCTCACTGGCTGTGTGAAAAGTAATTGTCTTAAGACCACTGATGTAAGCAATCTGCTACATGGGAGGAAGAAAACATGGAGTGAGAAAGAAGTGGGTATGGATGATAGAATAAGTGTGTCCCACTCTGCTTTCTTACCCATTGTACTACCCATCAGGTGGCTGCTAAAAGACTGTAACACTAAGAGTACAGGTAGCCCTTGACTTACAACCATTTGTTTAGTGACTGTTTGAAGTTACAACAGCACTGAAAGCAGCAACTTATGACCCTTTTTAAAACTTAACAACTGTTCCAGCATCCCCATGGTCATCTGATCAAAATTCAGGCATTTGGCAACTGGCTCATATTTATGACAGTTACAATGTCCTGGGATCATGTGATTTATCATTTTGCAACCTTCTGACGAGCAGAGTCAATGGGGAAGCCAGGTTCACTTAACAATCATATTACTAAGTTAACAATTGCAGTGATTCACTAAACAACTGTGGCAAGAAAAGTCGTAAAATGGGGCAAATCTCACTTAACAACTCTCTTGCTTAACAATGGAAATTTTGGGTTGGGTCATAAGTCGAGGACTACCCATAAAGAATAAAGATGTTTGCCCACATTTGGTTTCCTGTACTTAGCACTAACTCTCCAAAAGTTCAGATGGAGATCTGTCCTATCACCAGATGCTTCAACAGAGAATTGCCAGGGATAAGAATTTTTGCCTGCAGGGTGTATTCCCTGCCGCATCCTTTTGTCAAGAATTAAAGGCCAACACCCTGGTATAATTAACAGCAATGAACTTCATGTGAATACACAAAAATTTCCTGGAACCGTTTCACTTCCTAAGGCGTTGAAAGCAAAATACACCTCTTCAGGCGAAACTGGTCATAAACACAATTTTGGACAATGTATTTGCTTGACATGTAAGCCTCTCTTGTAACAAGTTTGGGGACTCAGGTGCCAATACAAGGAGTGTCGTAAGAGTGGGGAACCTGATTTTGTAAAAGAGCTGTCTTCCCTTGAGCAAAATCAGACAAGGGCTGCCCGCTGTCTATGTATAGCAAAAGGAAAGGAAAGAAGCAAAAAAAACCAAATAAACACCCTTTCTCCAAGTACGCTCAGAAATTACCAATGTTTTTAAAAGGAAACTTGTCACGAATCAAATCTAGTACTGGGATATAGTACCAGGCTGGCTGAATCAACGTTCTGAGTCAGAATAAGGCAGATTCTTATCTCTATCTGAGAACTTAGAAAGCAAGCAGAAAATATGGAACTGGGTACAAGACTTCACCCAGATCTCAAACATGAAGGTCAGTAGGACATAGCTCTTTGATTATTTTAATTTTATTATAGATACTAGAAAAGATGTAATTAGGGCAGAAAACCAGCAGTCGCCAGGTATTAGCCTGAAGCCATCAAAATATGAGCCCAGATTCAAACCTTGCATTTCTTGTTCCCCACCTGTGTATCATGATAGACAGCAAGCTGTTTATTTCTCAGTGATGGACACTTGTGCACTGTTACTGTATAGGCCTGCTTAATCTCTGATTTTTTGGGAGGTCTGACCTTGGTCCTTCCGGTTTTCCTATATGGTATCCAAACCATGCAATACTTCAAAAACAATTACCCATCTTTTGAGCTGCATCCGGAAATACTGGATGTTATTTAAACATGCTGTACAATATGAGACATTGAACCAGTTCCTATGCATACAGATAGTCCTCGACTTACAACTTGGTGATTGCCCAAAGTATGACAGACTTGCCAAAAACTACTTACGATTCTGAAGTTCCAACAGCAAGTGACCACTTTTTACAGCTGTTTGCAGCATTGCACAATCACGTGGCTGGGCTTTACAATGTTTTTTTCCCAGAAACTGGTGTTTACTTCCAGTTTTCATTTAATGACCGCAGCATTTGCTTTATGGCTGTAGAGTTCATTTTATTACTGTGGCGATTTTCTCAAGGTCATAAAATTGTTATCTGGTCATGTGACGACCCACTTTACAACGGTCATAATTTGTGACTGTAGTTGTGGGACTCAATTATGGTCATAACTCAAGGACTACCTGTAGTTCCATTTACCCTCCAGCTCTAATCAAACATATTATACCTGAGAGGAAAGTGGCATGTTTTTTGGGGTCATGATTTTGCTTCCGCAGGCAAAAGGGACTATCATGGCTCTCGGGCACCAAGTGAGACTTCTCGGTAAGCAGTTCCATCAGTCTTCTCCTGCGGCGGAAATTCATCCGGAACTGATAGAGCAGGTTGCTATCCATAAAATGGTGTTTGTTGGACACTAGAGGCAGTTAAGAAAGACAAGGAAAGCCTTCATTTTAGCAGAGTGGAAAAATTAGGAGGGAACCTCTGTACCAGGGGTAGGCAACCTTGGCTCTTTTATGACTTGTGGACTTCAACTCCCAGAATTCCTGAGCCAGCCATGCTGAGGAGGTTTCCATTCTAAGCCATGCTGGCTCAGGAATTCTGGGAGTTGAAGTCCACGAGTCATAAAAGAGCCAAGGTTGCCTACCCCTGCTCTATACCTTGCAACGAGAAAAGGATACTCAGTGTTCACCCAAAAGTAATGTTAGCAATAATTGTAGGCATACGATATTTCTGGCCAGTTCATTTTGGGAAATCAGTGATACAGTTTAATATTTGCAATGCTCTTTAGTGCTGGACGGGAAGCAGATTCCATACTTGAATTCTTTCCTATATAATTACTTTCTCAGCTCTTGCTTACATCACTCACAACTATCAGACGCTCTCCATTTCTATATGATAATTGAGGAATAGATTTCGTTCCCCAATGGTTGGTTTTCTTTTCATTGTACAACAGTGTTTCATCCTGACAAATAAACTTTCATTTTAAAACTCCAGCACTGATCTCCTTGTTCTAGTTGAAATAGAAAAAGATCCAAATTTACCATGGGATCCCCAAGTTTGCTGAAAAAGCTGTATTTTGAGAGCCTTATGGAAAGCTGTAAGAGTCGGGGCTAACATCATCTTGAAACAGGTAATATTCCAGAGCATTGGTGCTACAGCAGAAAAGGCTTGCTTCTAGGACGAGACCAGCAGCAGGCCTCTCCTGCCAGATCTGATGCAATAGGTGCAGGTAACACCGAAGAGGTCACCTGGCCTTATGCCATATAGGACTTTAAAGGACTACAAAGGTCAAAACTAAGAACCAACGTTTGGTTCATGATTGTTCCAAAAGCCTGCCAAAAAGGCCAAATTTAAAAATCCAAGGTTTTAAGAACATGCCCTCAAGGATTTCAGTCAAGGGCCTTTCCTACCCCTTAACTGGAAAAATCAAGGGTCTGTCAAGTAGAAGCCAAGTTGAGATATATCTAGGTTTAATCTAGTGGCGCAGTGGTTAGAATATAGTACTGCAGGCTTATTCTGCTGACTGCCGGCTGCCAGCAGTTTGGCAGTTCGATTCTCACCAGAGCAAGGTTGACTCAGCCTTCCATCCTTCTGAGGTTGATAAACTGAGGACCCAGATTGTTGGGGGCAATATGCTGAGTCTGTAAACGGCTGAGGGCTGTAAAGCACAGTGAAATGGTATATAAGTCTAAGTGCTATTGCTATTAAAGTAGCCCTGTTCAGCTAGGGCTGGCTGTTCCTCCATGATTCCAACCACAGAAGTTGAAATCTACAGACAACAGGAAAAAGGATTAAAAAAAAAAAAAAAGCTAAGCTGCACACAGTACAGCAGCTGAAAGCACCAAGACTTTTGTACCCCTGTTCTGCTGTTTTGTCCTTAGTAATCTTAGATTACTAAGCCAACCCAACTCTCTAAAATTGGAGAAAACTCCCTAATAGCAGCTGATATACCTTTAAACAGCTGTAAGTGGAGGAAGAGATAGGTAAAGATTCATGGATGCACCAGCATGCTTCTGATATGTGCCAAGACCTCTCATAATCCTGAACAAAGTTCTAGTTTTTGTTTGTTTTAACCACATAGGGAGATAAATACACACTTGATCTTAGCGAAAAGGCTTTGAAGCTGAATAACAGTTTGTCTTTAGAATTAGTAGAATATACATCAACATTTAGTCAGTGAAAACAGTCACTTGATTCAAAGTGGGCAGAGACCGAGCGGAGATAGAGAATTGACTCTCCATGCGTCAGTAGAAAAATCTAATAAAATAATAACTATCTAGCCCAGCTTTCTCAGGGATAAGGCTATTGTTATATAGACTGAACTCTATCCAAAACCAGAATCTTGTGTAAGCTTATGCAGCGTGATACCTTCCAGATGTTTTGGACAACAAACAGTAACACTATTCATGTTAGATGGGTCTGATGAGAACTGTAATGCAAAACCTTTGGTAGGCACCAAGCTTCTTGCCATTTCAGCAAGCAAGCACTATGTATTTGATTAGTACACTACTCAGTGTTCTGGATTTGATTTTAAGGAGGTGCATATGGAACAGGCACATAACACCTGTCTATAACTCCTTAATCCAAAGATACATTTTCCTGGATTGCATGACAGATGAAGTGAACAGCAGTATGAACCAGGGAAAAGACACAGTTGCTGACAGGTGCTTTATTTGAATGACTTCATGCTGCAATCTTGTTCGCTATCTTAGAAGTCACAGTGAAATGATAAGATCACACATAGGAAGCATTTGATCTTTTAAAATGGTTACTCCAATGCTAAGTGTTCATTATTGTTCAGCCACTTTTAAAATAAGAACTTATTCAAAGCTGGGATACAATGGCAAATAGGTGGGTAGGTAGATAGATAGAGATGGATGTAATTATGTGGACATAAAGATACAGATATATATAGATATAATAGATATAGATAGGGAGGGAGGTAGATGGATAGGTAGACACATAGATAGATAGATAAACATTTGGGTAATCTAACAAGGAAAATCCATTTGATTATTCTTCATGTTTATTCAGCATGTTATCTGAAGTTCTGGAAGATCCTTGTCCTTTGGTATGAAGATCCCGCTGACCAGTGGACCTATAGTTCCAAATTAATTTATAATCCTGCTATATTCCTGTAATGTTAGGTTGATGATGGCATGTTTTAAAAACCTAATTTCTCTTCCTGACAATCCTTATTGCAGCAGCGTTTTTTTAAGTCACACATGGACCATTTTATTTGTTCTCCTTAATACCACTTTACAATGCCTTGGTAAGGCCACACTTGGAATACTGCATCCAGTTTTGGTCACCACGATGTAAAAAAGATGCTGAGACTCTAGAAAGAGTACAGAGAAGAGCAACAAAGATGATTAGGGCACTGGAAGCTAAAACATATGAGGAACAGTTGCTGGAATTGGGTATGTCTAATTTAACGAAGAGAAGGACGAGGGGGACATGATAGCAGTGTTCCAATATCTCAGGGGCTGCCACAAAGATGAGGGAGTCAAGCTATTCTCCAAAGCACGTGAAGGCAGGACAAGAAGCAATGGATGAAACCCACATTAAGAGACTTTATGGGGTTTTAGTTGAATTGGACTCAGAAACGGAACTAATTAAAGATTGTATGATTAGATGGGCGCAGAATTTTGGTGAGCCAGTTTCATTGGACACCTGGGAAACTATTTGGGTGAGAAATGTCAAATTTACTCAAGCACAGAACTTAAGGGAGAATTTTTATAAAATGTTTTATAGATGGCACCTTGATCCACAAAAAATGTCTTATATGTATCCTGACGTGCAACCCAAATGTGGAGATGTGGTTATAAGGAGGCTTCCTATTATCATATTTGGTGGTCATGCAGAGAGATAAAAGCATTTTGGATTAAAATATGGTGGAATATCCAGAGAATTTTTAGAAGGAGGGTAAAATTTACTCCGCAATTATTTTTGTTAGGTATTGTTACAAATTGTGATACAAAGGAGGTTGTATTGATGTTAAATTTGATCACAGCCGCTAGGCTGTTAGTAGGACAATATTGGAAGAAGGAATCCTTGCCTACATTGCAGGAATGGTTTCTTAAAGTAGCTTATCTGGCGGAAATGGCAAAGATCTCGGCTTTCTTAAAGCAACAAACGCAAGAGAAGTTTTTTGCTGTTTGGGATAAATGGATAAAATTTATACAATTTAGATTGGGTATACAAAAATATTATATAGTTTTTTCATAAGTTTTATTTTAATATATATTATAGATAATTTTTTTATATATATAAATATAAAGTTTTTAATTTAATTTTTATTTTTATTTTTTAAGCCTATATTCTGCTCTGGGAAGCTCAGGGGGGGGGGAAGGGAGGGTTTTTTTGTTTTTTTTTTTTTTTTTTGGAGGGCTGGGGGATGGGTTTTTTTTTTTTTTTATTTAATATATGTATTTTTTAGTTTTATTTTTCTGTATATGTTGCCTTTTGTTTTGTATTACTTTTCTTTTTTTGTAAAATTTATAAAACTTTCAATAAAAAAAAAAAAAAAAAAAAAAAAGAAGCAATGGATGGAAACTAACCAGAGAGAGAAGCAACCTAGAACTAGGAGAAACTTCCTGACAGAACAATTAAGCAGTGGAACAACCTGCCTCCAGAAGCAGGTGAATGCTCCAACACTGGAAGTTTTTAAGAAGAGACTGGACAGCCATTTGTCTGAAATGGTATAGGTTTCCTGCCTGAGCAGGGGGTTGGACTCGATGACCTCCAAGGTCCCTTCCACATTATTATTATGATCATCGCACAGTCAGCCAGATGTTCAGACTGGATTTGGCATTTTGTCTACCTATCGAGTCCTTACCCAGGACCTGGGATAGGCAGATGTGGATGTTTGATGGTATTACAGATATCGTCGCAGGATGGAAGCAGTTCCTAATAAGGCTGCCTTTTGCAATTGACTAATAGCGAATTTGTCAATGCCAATGGTGTTCAAGTGGTGCTCCAGTTGTTTTGGGATTGCACCCAAGGAGCCTATGACTATTGGTACTACCCTTGCTTGCTTTTGCCACAGTCTTTCTATTTCTATTTGTAGGTCTTTGTATTTTGTTATCTTCTCCAGTTCTTTCTCTTCTATTCTGCTATCTCCAGGCACTGCCACATCCACTATCCAGACTTTTTTGTCTTTCTTATCGACAATTGTTAAGTCTGGGGTGTTATGTTGCAGGTGCTTGTCTGTTTGAATTCTGAAGTCCCAAGAGCAGTTTAATTTTATCATTTTCTATGACTTTCTCTATTTTATGATTCCACCAGTTTTTGCTTACAGGCAAATGATATTTTTTGCAGATCTTCCAATGCACCATTGTTGCTACTTTGTCATGCCGCTGCTTGTAATCAGTTTTTGCAATCTTCTTGCAACAGCTTACCAAGTGGTCCACT